TGCATTTAAAAATTTTTACCTTAGAACGATATAAGCAAATGAAAATTAATATAATGGTGATAAGAGGGAAGACATCCGTGACTAATATATCTCCAATCTGAAGAATATGAATGTATTAGGTGTACAAAAAAGTTTTGAGCTTTTTTTTGTAAAATTCAATCTTTATTCAAAAACAAACGAAAAAATATTAATCAGCGAAATATTCTCCGTTTGCATTAACGACCTTTTGCCATATTTCGGGTAGCTTGCGAATTCCTTGACGATAGAAACTCACCGGCTTCAAAGCGATAAAGTCATCAATGCATTTTCGTATTTCTTCTAATCTCACGAAATGTGTGTTGTGTCTATGACCAGCCACACGCACTATTTTAGTCTATAATCGTATAAGTTGAATTGATCACTCGACAACGCCTGGAGACTGATGCCCCTTTTACCGACCTCGACAACGCCTGGGGATTGTAGTCCTGAGTCGAGGCGTGACACCGCCTGGGGGCTGTCGCCCTGAGTCACTTTTCACGGCACGGACACGCGACTAACGTCTGAGGTCGTCACCTCGAGTCGCGGAAGCTCGGAAAAGATCTTTTCACACACACTTGAGAGAGCCGATGGTTCACCGTGGCACGGTCAAAATCGAATGCTTAAAAATCGTCCCTTCCCGATCATCGTGCACGTTCGCCGTCGTCGCCGAAATCACCCGAAGGTTGTTTTTCCGCCGACTCGTGTATTCAAAGAGATCGCGGTATCGATGGCTCCTAGATATCGCGCGAATCGTTACCACATGTTAAACCGAGAAGAAAGACGTCGGACCGCGGTTCGAGATTAAGAACGCCGAAAGTTCTTTGTTCTATACCGCCCGTTTCTGAACTTATACCGCGATTTCTGCTCTCTCTCTTATTATGTGTGATGTATGTTTATATATGTGTGAGATCTTAAGAGCCGTCCGTTCAACGTATAAATTTTGTCATGCACGACCCTAGAGCTCATATGCGGAACATACTCCCCCCGTTGAGAGAGTAACGATCAACCTTGGTTACGTATAAATAGTGTTGTGTATGTCCGTGGTGTACGCATAAATAACGCTTGTGTTTCGACTTATACATTAAACTGGTCTCGTGTTAGTTGTGCATGTTAGTTGTGTGACGTATCGCCTTATGATTGTTCCATTGGTAGTGGACAGAGACTCGTCACAGGTCTCATGATTTCTCCGGATGCTGTCATGATGGAGACCGTCCGTGTTACTCCATCATTGCCCGGATAGAGTCTTATAATCCTGCCTAAGACCCATTGTGTGCAGGGTAGGCGTTTGTCCTTGATTAAGACTACGGTACTGGTATCAAGTTGCGAGCCATCTTTGGTCCATTTGTGACGTACTTGGAGCTCGTTCAAGTATTCTAGGTACCAGCGTGCCCAGAAATCTTGTCTCACCTTTGATATATGTTGCCAGGTGGACAAACGGTTATCTGGAACACAGGTCAAATCACCCTCGGAGAGGGCCGTTAGTGGTCTGCCAATTAGGCAATGTGCCGGCGTTAATGCTAACGGATCGTTCGGATCCAAAGAGAGCGCGGTAATCGGCCTGGAATTTAAAATCCCCTCGACTTCGGTAGTAAACGTGCTTAGTTCTTCATATGTAAACAATGAGTCTCCCATTACGCGTCGGAAATGATGCTTAAAAAGCTTGACGGTAGACTCCCATAATCCACCAAAATGCGGGGCTATTGGTGGTATAAAATGCCACGTTATGTGACGTTCGCTCGTATACCTATTTATGCGTTCTTTATGAGTTTCAGAATTAAAAAGAGCATATAGTTCCTTTAATTGGTTATTAGCGCCCACAAAGTTGGTACCGTTATCGGAATATATATGCTCTGGTAACCCTCTTCTCGCGATGAAACGACGCAGTGCGGCTAGAAAGCCGTCCGTTGATAAATCGCTCACGACTTCCAGATGCACGGCCTTTATAGATAAACACACATACACGCATACATAAACCTTAATACGCGTCCTGTTACGGAATTTTCGTTCCTTAATGTAGAACGGCCCGCAAAAATCTACACCGGTGTTATTGAAAGGAAACGCTTCGCGCACACGAACCGAAGGTAGATTTCCCATTTTTGGTTCGATCGTATTAGCGCTAAATCTAAGACAACGTATGCATCTACGAACCACCTTCCGTACCTGATTCCTGCCGTCGAGTAGCCAGAACCTCTGGCGTAAAGTAGCTAGGGTGCTTTGAATACCTGCGTGATAGTTTGTCTCGTGTGATTCGCGAATGATGTTATCGGTTAAATGATTACGGCTTGGAAGTAAGATCGGATGCTTCCGAGTAAACGTCAGTTTTGAACCCTGAAGACGACCTCCAACCCTTATTATGCCGTTTTCATCTAGGAATGGAGATAGATTCGCAATTCTACTTTTATCCGCGTGTTTTCTAGTTTTAAGACTTTCGATTTCCTTGTGGAATTGAGATGCTTGTAAGATCCTTAAAATTTTTATTTCGGCTTCAACAATTTCTTCCGCACATAATATTCCGCTATATCTGCTGGTGGGACGGAATCGAAGACAGTACGCGATGATTCTACATAGCTTGTTATAGGAAGAATATTTATTTAAAATTTCGAGATTATCCGTCACCGTTGTTAAGCATGTATTCCTTTTTAGTTCTGGAATCTCGCATAACTGTACGACCGCGTTGGGCCAATCACTCTCGTCCTTAATTAGCCAGGATGGGCCTGTAGACCATATTTTGTTCTGTGAAAAGGTGAGAGGCAATTGACCCCTAGAAATCGCGTCCGCTGGATTGTATAGTGATCGGACATGTCTCCATTCTATTGAGTCGGTAAGTTCTCGAATTTCTACAACCCGGTTTGCTATGAATGTTTTAAGACGCTGCGGCTCAGTATTCAACCAGTGTAACACTATGGTCGAGTCACACCAGAAGATTACCTTGCTAGGATTTAGATTTAGTGTACCGTTGACCTCGCGATATAGTTGTGCTAGCAGAAGTGCCCCGCAAAGTTCGAGTCTTGGTATAGTCACAGTCTTGAGTGGCTCAACTCGTGATTTAACGCATAATAAATTCGACATCACGTCGCATTGATCCCCCTTCGACCGTACATAAATACATGCACCATAACCTACATTACTAGCATCGCAAAATCCGTGTAATTGTATATCGCGATGATTTGTAATCAGTAATTTACGAGGAAAGGAGATCCTTTCCATCATCTCCCACTGTCGCGTGAATTCTAACCATTCGTCGTATATATTTTGCGGCACGGCTTCGTCCCACCGAACTCCAGACCGCCATATATCTTGCATCAATCTTTTGGCGAATAGAACGACTGGACCTAACAATCCTATTGGGTCGAAAATCTTTGCGATTTCTGATAGGACATTTCGTTTTGTCACTCTGAATATTTAATCGCGCTAGTAGAGTAACATATTTCGTCATTTCGCGTGTTCCACGTAACACCTAAAGTTTTCAAAGCTCGATCCGTGTTTAAGGTGAAGCTCGCGTGTAGTGCATTGTTCTCTAGGTCGTTAATGATGCGTTCATCATTAGATGCCCACTGTCTAATGACGAAACCACCCCGCGATAGTAATTCGGTCACTTCGTCTCGAATCATCCTCGCTTCTCGAATCGTATCAGCACCGGTCAGCAGATCGTCAACGTAAAGATGAGATTTAAGGATCTCCGCGGCTCTGGGATAAGCTTGACGTTCGTCTTCGGCTAGTTTCTGAATGACGCGGATCGCCAAAAACGGTGAAGAAGAGACACCGAATGTAAGAACGTTAAGCTGTAGCGTCTCGATCACGTCGTTTCTACGCCACAAAATTTTCTGATAACATCGATTGTCTTCATGCAAAAATATCTGGCGAAATATTTTCTCGATATCCGCAGAAATTACGTATTCATAGGTACGAAATCGAATTAAGTGAGAAAATAATTTATCTTGTATCGTCGGGCCCACCATCAGCACATCATTTAGGGAGACACCGGTGCTGGTTTTCGCCGATGCGTCAAAAACTACTCGGACCTTGGTGGTCTCACTTGTTTCCTTCATAACCGCGTGGTGTGGCATATAATAACCATTAACGCCGGGATTTTCGACCACTGACATGTGTCCTAAATTTAAATATTCTTCGATTATTTTCGCGTATTCGTTTTTTAGAGTCGCGTTCACATTGAGTTTAAAAACGCTCTAAAGACAATAAGCGTTTTAAAGCTATCGTCCGCGAATCGCTAAGACATTTATCCGTTACGCGAAACGGCAGATGGACTACATAGCGTCCGTCGTCGCGACGAGAGACCGTTCCAGAGAAATGTGATTCACATTCGAGCTCCTCCTCCGATTTCGTCGCATTTTTCGTTACTTCCTCTATTGTCCAGAACTTTGACAATTGATTTTCTAAATTAGTCACGCAACATGTATCGTTAGTTGATGATTGTGATGACATTCCGCCGGCGATCACCCAACCTAAGCGCGTTTCTTGGAGATACAAGTCCCACCCTTCACGAGATAAATCAATCTGGCCGCCGAACAGTAAAGATAACGTCGCGCCCGCGCCTATTAATATATCGACGGGCCGTGGCAGATGGAATTCGGGGTCTGCTAATTTGATATCAGACGGCAAATCTAACGAGTTTCGTGGGAAAATTTCTGCTGGCACTAGATCTGTGACCGTCGGTATTGTCAAACACGTCAGAGTTTTGCGGAAGTCGTTGTATATCGACCGTATGTTAATTCGTACTATACCCTTCGATACAGTGTTGACGGCGTTGATTGCGCTAATCGTTGACGATTTTTTTATTACTCGCACATTTAATTGTCTCACGATGGATTCCGAAACAAAATTTGTAGTTGCACACGTGTCTAAGAGTGCTCGACATTTAATGCCCTTGTGATTATTGCCTTTAGGATCGTAGATATATATTAACGCGCTCGTTAGAAGCTGTGGAGCGATGCATGGTATAGTCGCGAGACTCGTTGCGCTGTGGCCGGGCGATTTTATTAGTCATTTGGATTGAGTAATCGTTGAATTAGAAAGATCTGATTTATTCGCTTGATGGTCATTATATAAAAGTGTGTTGTGACGTTTCTGACACACCGTGCAATTCGAAAATTTACACGGCGTCCCATAATGAGAACGTAAGCAATTATAACATAATTTCGCCTTTTGCACCATCTCAATACGCTTTGTTACGGACAACTGTTTGAACGCGTTACACGCATAAAGTGGATGTTGTTTACCTTTACATGCAATACAATTACGCGACGTCTTTACCATAAAGGCTCGATTCGCAACGTCGAATTTCCTCTTTTTGACCGGGGGTTCGTACTTGCTCTTATTCGATTCTATTGGTTTCGTTCGTTCTCGTCTCGACGCGCATACCGCTGTTTTATATAAAAATTCATACAAGTCTTCGAGTTTGGGAAATGTATCTCTTTCAAGCGTTGCTTCCCATTTATCTAATGTAGATTTCGGTAATTTACTTTCGATAAGGTATACGACCATTTCTTGACCGATTGTGACGCCTAGAGTACTTAACGACGCGATATGCTGTTGAGCATCGTCAGCGAGTTTTGTCAAACCGTCTGTACTTTCCTTATCTAACGTACACAGATTTACAATAGCCGAGAGGTGTCGCATGATCAGAATCCGCCTCACTTCATAAGAGCGCTCTAATAACTCCCAAGCCTTCGCATAATTTACCCCATCGATTGAGAATATTTTTATTTTGTTACTGGCTTCACCTGTTAACGCGGCCTTTAAATAATGTAACTTGTCGATGTCCGTTAAATCCGTTTGTGAGCCTATCATGGAAGTGAACGCGTTTTTGAAAGTTAACCAATTTTCGAACTTGCCATCAAACGTCGGGCTTCGGGTAATTTAATACGCCTTTTTTTAAAAGTTGTTACGGTTCCCGTATTCTCGATTCGAATCTCGTTACTCGACATGCCGTTGTCTCTGTCCGACACATCTCCCGCGCTTAATCTGGTCTCAACGTCGCCCGCAAGAGAATAGAATCTTTCTTGTATACTTGAAAATTCGTTTTGATGTACGTCGTTCGGATCTAATACCGCGAGTTCATCGTTGAACTCTTCGTACGCGTGGTACAATTTCGTCAAACGTGTGATACGCAGTCTCAAAGTACTACCGTTTATTCTACCTTTGTCGAGGAGATTGGTCAAACTCGTAATTTGCGACTTTAATGAGGTTCGTTTCTGTACTAATATTTTAACTCTGTGTGTGTCAGCCATTACTATGCGATTTGTGTTAAATAGAATCGAATGACTTACTCTTGTGAAGCGATACCGTTTAATTGATATAAATATCGTTCGAGAATCCTATCATCCAGGATGTCAGCTCTTGAGATTGCGCAGCGAACGTCTCCTTCAGTTAGTAATCCAGTATTGTAAGTGGGTTTCCGTGAACCTCACAGGAGGCACCATAAATTATGTTGTGTCTATGACCAGCCACACGCACTATTTTAGTCTATAATCGTATAAGTTGAATTGATCACTCGACAACGCCTGGGGACTGATGCCCCTTTTGCCGACCTCGACAACGCCTGGGGACTGTCGTCCTGAGTCGAGGCGTGACACCGCCTGGGGGCTGTCGCCCTGAGTCACTTTTCACGGCACG